CCTGGTACCTTGTCAATTTTTGTTGACAATTTGGCACTCTAATACAGTACAACTTTGGTCAACTTTTAATAGAAATTTATATGAAAGAAGGACTCGCATATCCAAAAATAGACACCCCTTAATTGTTTCATTTTCGAAGGACTTCTCATAGGAATTTTTATTAAAAAACAAGAAAATCGGTAATTTGTGCGGTCGTTTCCGTGGACTAAACCAATAACTGTATTTATGTGTCTGAACTCTCGTCCCGAGACACAAGTTATACAGGAATGTGGGCTCCAAGCCCAAATCATATTATTGAAATATATTTGTCCGAGTGTCCGAGTAAACCCCCTTTTTCTTGTTTAAAGGAGTAACTAGGGCAATTAATCTTGTATAAAGTTAATTTAAAAATATATAATGACAAATCGTGTACTGTAATTACTAAATAATAAATTAATTAAATTTTCTAACAAAATTTAGGAAATTAAGGTGATTTCCTTAATTAATTATTATTTAGATATAAATTGAGAGGTGTCTCAAGAACCACTATACTAACCAAAGAAATACAATAATATAATTCATCGGAATTAAACCAAGCAAATCACGATAGAATCCGAAAATCAAATTCAGAATAGACCAACCGGTTCGACAAATCGAACACGGGACATGGTCTAAGGAAAGGCTCACACGATTTCTCTTTTTCCTTTCTTTGCTATTTTTCTTCTATTTCTTTTTGTTTGTCATTATTTCTCTCCATTTTTTCTTTCTGTGTGCCCGTCCGTGGCCCTAAAACTAGGGCCACAGTAGACGCGGCCTGTACCCTCGCTGCCTCCTCCTTTCCTCCCCAAAGTTCAGCCAACCTCGGAAGGGCACCCAAGAAATTTTCTAAGATTTTGCAGCCCTCATCAAACCGCCCAAGCGTGAAATTTCACCTCATTAGTTGGCATGAACCCATTCTATCTTTCTTTCTCCTTAATGAAGCATCGTCTTATCTGAGCCATAACCGCAGAAAGAGCGCAGCCGGAAGAGCCGCGAACGATACCTGATAGGCATATCGATTTGGACCATTAGGACCCTCGATCGAGGAAAGGTCTCGCAGAGTTGAGCCTCCTCGCCTACCTTGAATTTTCACTCGGGCGACACCAGACCTCTTCTCTGTTCGACGACGAAGTCTTGGCTCCTCTACCTTTTTAGCGTCCCTCACGTTTCCCCGTTCCGGCTCGCCACCACAAGCCAAGTGCTTAGCGGGGTTGCGTCTACTATGAGATTATGCGAAATTCTCTGGAGACAGCGCCTATCCTCCTTTCCTTTTTTGAATTTCCGCACAGGACAGTTTTAGGTAAGTTGTCATTTTCAACCTCTTACAATACATCTATCAATGACATTTTATTGATTCCTGAATAGGAGAGTGACTATAAAAATAGAAATTTCTTAAGAAGTGATATAAAAATAGAATTTCTTAGCTACTGTTATGATGATTAACTAAGAAATTTTGATAAATAAAAATATAAATGGAAGCTATAAATTGAGCTATAAATTGAATTCACATATAGAATAGCTAGATTATTGAATCTATTATGAATTTTTGTAAGGAAACGATGATTCGTTAGTACGATAGTAGGTATTTTTGGTTGTTGGTTGAATTCTTGGTATGTTATGAAGGAAACCTTGATTGTACCATTTCAATTGAACTATAAACTGAAATGGCGAAAGAATTGAGAAACCTGAAATGGCAGCATGCCATTTTAATTAATTAGCTTGAACAATTACTGTGGTATAATGCAAACAAAGTTTTAAATTAAGTTCTTGGTGGGAAATAGGTTAAGTAGCATATGATGTATGAGTTTAATCAATAACTCAAGGTTTCTTTGATATAATGGCAGCTTCTTAAAGCTTCCCAATCCAAGCTTGCAGCAATAAAGTTGGATATTGGTTAATACGCAAGTTTCTTGACGAATATATAAATGAAGGAATTAGTTTATAGAAATTGAAGGGTTGAGTAAGAACCTGATTTTTTTTTAGGATGGCCCAATATTGAGTGTTCCTATAAATTTTTGTAACGATTTGATGAAAATAAAGTTGTATATTAATTCTATAATAAGGAATGGAGTTAAGTAGTGTATAAATCATAAGCGTAAGCGGAAAACTTGAAGAGTTCTCATGGTGGCAGCAGCTGTGTGGCAAATTTGTTACTATTTGAGTTTAAGTAGGCCAAGATTAGATAGTTTGTCTCAATTAATAGTTAGTTAACTTTTCTGTAATAAATAGCAGAACTCTAGAATCGTCTAAATGGTTACCGAATTATTCAGCTCTCTAAATTGTAATATGATTAGAGACTGTTTAAGATTGTAAGTTGATGTTTAATTTGATGGGAACAAAGATATGATATCTAGCTAAAGATTTTTAATAATATATTATTGGCAAATAATGAGTTTAAGTTTTTGAAAGTGAGTTTGTTGAGCAAAGAGTAACAAATGATAATTGTTAATTATTGGTATTGCTATGTAAAGGAGGATGGGCATTTTAAATTGATTGATTGCCCGACGGATGGGCTGTGTGCATTGATTTGATAAATATATGATAATATTGTGATATTTGAGCAGGCAGATAGTCCAATTTTATTGGTGATCTCTTTGAAGCAGGTTAGATAGTCAATTTTTATGGGGAGTGCTGCGAAATTTCGATAGAACTTAGGGACTAGTTACTAGTAATGACACATTAATAACCGTTTATAGACTTAATTCTATTAACTATAATAAATATTAAATAGCCAGTGCTCTCAACTATTTTAATTCATTCATTATTATTCACTTCGGAATTATTCAATTATATTTATTTATTATATTTATTATTCATCATTGTTGATTCATTGTTTAATTTTTATTTATTATTTAAGATATTATGCGATTGAGAATGGGATGCTCTAACTTGTGGCATTTCATTTACGATGTGCAACTGTATCAACTCAATGTCCTTGCACCATTATGATTGCAATTGTTGATTACATTGTGTTGTAGAATAATGTCTTGCTTTGTTTGTTTTGGACAGTTGGATGAAGTGACCACCACGGGGTTTGTCACGTCCCTGAGCGGCTCTGTGATGGATTCTGAGTACGATATTGGTACTTGCCACGTCGTCGGCGGGGAGTAGAATGGTCGCTGAATCCTGGCTCGTGCAGCCCGCTTGCTGGCACCTGATGATATAACTATATGGAAATACTCACAGCGATGGGCTTCTTTGTGCTTGCGCACCTGATAATGTAGATTTGATATTTGTATGGCCCGCAGAGGTGGCCTTCTCTGTTGTGACTCTGTGATGATCTAGATTTGCTGATGCGAGCGTATCACTCTCTGTTCTCACTCTGAAAACAAAATAAGAGTTGAATGAATTAATGAGAGGATGGGTCCAGTGAGGTTAGACAGTTAGGCCGTATGGTCGGGAGTCGGCTCTGGTGCAACATTATGTCACCAGAGGGCCGGCCTCATGCTGTGCTGAGGACTCGCCTCATTGCGTTCAGTTTACAGGTGTGTTAGCCACTGCTACTAATATTCCCCGTAACGATGTGATATTTGAAGCGGGATTTGTTTGTTGAGATGTGGTGACCATGACCCATATTGTGGGACGGCTGTATCGTTCTCCTTGAGAGCGATCGCCATTTCATGTATAGATTTGATATATATATTTATACATGTTTGTGTGAATGGTCTTGTGTGCAATAATAATTACTCCTTAGAAAGCTCAATATCTCTTGTTTTAATTTTTCTCAGGAAATAAGTTTCTCTTTATTTCGTAGTTAAGCTATGTTCCTTCGTCGTCGGCCAGAGCTAAAAAAAGAAAATATTTCCACTAGAACCAATTAACGTACTTCTTTTGCTACTGATATCTCAGATGTTATAAAAAACTCTATTGTATCATTCTATGAGTTAGTGAATCCGCCTCAGTGGTATGTAGAAGTCTTATTAATTTAGTCAGCTGTGGATCAATTATCGTAACGAATACTGGGATTTTGAGCCCATAATTGAATTCGTGATGTATTTCCTAAATTGCCCGAACTGTGAATTTGTAGGAAATAGTTTGGGCCGAGATGTAATAACAATCTTAAGGTTAAATTTTTTTTGTAATCCTCTCTCCGATATGGTTTAAGAATATTTAAAATTTATATTGAGATAGCTAATTTTAGTGTTTCAGGCTTACTACGGGCCTCGGGGGCCTTAAGCTTACCTGGGCCCTAGTGCCGGTCCGGCCCATGGAATCGGGTCGTGACATAGACGAACTAAAACAGCTTTGTGGGAAAAAACACTTAACATGTCCCGTGATTGATATTGTTAACCAATGCTGTGTATTGTGTAAAAAATGGATTTTTTTGGGTAACAGGTGGCCAGAAGCGAGCCGATCACATCTTGATTGGGCCTAGCATCGCCATGGGGGCGGGGTCTTAAACCCGGCCCATTTTCAATTTTGTATTTGGGTTGGGCTTTAGCTTATTTTGGAGGAGAGGACGATTTGGCCTCCTATATTGATCAGTCTAGAGACACAGGGTCAGCCTTTCTTCTTCAACCTCTCTGACGAAAACCCTAGAGGTGCTTCTCGAAGCTTGTCTTCATATTAGAAAAATTCGATTTATTTCCATCGTCAACCTTTCTGCAGTTCCGTTTATATTATTGTATCGAAGGCTTAAAAGAGTTTGATAAATCACGTCGATTATATTCAGCTATGGTGCGCTTCTCTCTCTTACTATCTCAATTTTGTGCCATATGTTTTTATTGCTTTTGTTGTTTTGTAAAGAAATGATTTTTAGGTCATTTTCTTCCCTTTTTATTTTTATTTTTTTTGTATAATTTGTAGACCATTCCAACAATTTTCTAATGTTATTTTTGCTCTCCTGTTGCTATATATATATATATATATATATATATGATCCGTAAACTAAGTGAAAAACCTATAAACCAAGCAAAACCGGGCTGTTTCACTGAATTGAGCCAAACCGGTTCGAATCGAACCAGAATGGCAGAAAATTCTAGAAACCATTTCAATTTTTTTTTCTTTCTTCCCCTCTCCTTCCGGGGTCTGGTCAGAGCGTTCTCCTCCTTCCCGTTCTCCGGCCACCGCTTGACAAGGGCGAAGTGGCGGTCGTCGACTCTCCTAACGCCGCTGGCTCCTTTTCGGCCCCCCTCCACGCAAACAAAGCCTCTGGCGGTGCGAAAACGAGACTGTCTCTGTTGACAGTTCTCGTTCCTCGACCTCCAGCAAAAGCTTGCCGTTTCAGGAAAGCACAGTTCGAGAGAAGGGCATCGATCGACTCGTCTCCTTCTGGTAAGCATTTCCCCTATTGTTATTTTAACTGTTGATTTCGTTTTGTGAACCCAACGTGATCGGTGGCGAGGGTGAGAGCTGCCGATGCGATTCCGGTTAAATGGTTCACCAACTTCTTAAATTGAGGCTTGAAACGAATTCCTCGTTTAATTTTGAACGAAATAATGTAGGCTTTGAACATTTACGGTGTAGTCCGAATTTCCTGCCACCGTACACGGCGGCGCCAGCGGAGTCTCCAGTGACCGGAGTTTCCAAGAGCCAGAATTTTGCAATTTTTTTTTTCGTGTAGAGTATGAATATATAATTAGTTTTGCTATTTGACATCAATTGATAGTTGGAGTGCAAATTGACGCAATTTAGGAATTAGACTGCAGGTTGAAAAATCGCGAAATGTCGATAATACAAGAACTGTACAATCTTAGAAAGGTTTGATTAACTAGTTAGCAAAGTAATTACATTTTGTTAGTATCCAAAATAAGTTATATGTATGAATTTAATAATAGTTAGGATGTTTTAGTTTCTATGAAGTTGATTAGTGAATTTGCCAGCCTGTGTGCTATGAGATTAAACTAGAATTTAGGAATTTTATTTTTAATTATTCCTTCAAATTATTGCTTGATATTGTACATATGAGGTAGTAGGTCTAATTTTTGCAACAGATTGGTTAGTTGGTGTGCAATTTAAGATTTTAGCGTAGAAAAAAATCTACGAATCTGTGTAGTGGCAGCAAATATATTAAATTGTTTTAGAAAGACAAATATGAATGAGGAAGTGTATTTTTTTTAATTTCCAGGTCGATAGATATTCATCAATGCTTATTCATATTCAATAGATGATGGTTCATGGATCATTAAATGGAATTTCGAGATCTAAATTAATAACAAGGAAATGGAAGAGTTTATAAATTATAATTGCATATAATTATTAAAGGTGTATATATATATATATATATATATAGTTACAGTAGAAGGATATAAAAGTTAAGCCAATATAAATTTTCAATTGTTTATCTACTTAGTTATTTGCTTAACCTTATAAAGTAAAGTTAAAATTTTGTATTGGTGATTAATTATTGATGTTGTTAGTTGGATGATACGAGATACTTAGAACATAATGTGTAAAACTCGCTCAGTGGGCGAGCAAAGTAAATAATAATATAAATGTGTATTAGAAAGACCATGATGTCATGAAAGGAAGTTGTATAATTTTTCATTTAAATTTCCAGGAGTACAGACGGAATAAGTATTCATATCAATCGCTTTTCTATATTTCTCATAAGAATGATGGGGTTCAATGGATCATATTAATAATAGGAATTTCGAGAGCCATTATATAATTAATTAAATACAAGGAATGGCAAAGAAAAGAAGATTTATAAAATATATAAATTGCAACATATTAAATTATTAAAGGATGTTATATATATATATATATATAATATAGTTACAGTAGAAGGATATAAAAGTTAAAGCCAATATAATTTTTTTCAAGATAGGAGGGTTATAAAGTGTAAACTACTTATGTTATTTTGGACTTAACGATGTATTAAAGTAACTTAGTTATTTGCTTAACCTTATAAAGTAAAGTTAAAATTTTGTATTGGTGATTAATTATTGATGTTGTTAGTTGGATGATACGAGATACTTAGAACATAATGTGTAAATTTGAATAAAGTAAGACTTGTAATTCTAATAAGTGGTAACTGAGGTGAAGCTAGTCCTATTTACATATATATATATATATAGTAGTGGATTTGGATTATTAAGTTAATTGGCAGTGGTAAATTAGTTACTGAAAAAGTACATTAGTCTAAGTGTAATTACGTTAAAGCAAAGATTCTTAGTGACCAGTCTAGGATTTTATTAAAGGATATTTATGCCCAAGTAAGGTGGATGAATAAAGAAGCTAATTATATTGAGGTGAAGTGGGAATGTCTGGTAATGCGCTTGGATCAATCAAGATTATTTTAGTTTATGTGTTGAGGATTGAATGTAATATTGATATCGTTATTTGGATAGAGGAAGGGAAAAATTAAATTGCGTGATCGCCCGATGGATGGGCTGTCTGTAATGATTGATATATATATATAACTGTGAAGCAATAGATAACGAAAATGTAGAGGGCTTAATGTTTAGAGGACTTTAACGAATAGCTTATAACTCAGGTTATCATAATATGCAGCGCTCGCAAGTTAGGGAAAAAAATGGTTTCTTTAAGGGGGGTTAATGTGCCTCTTACATTGGTATCAATCAGTAAGGAATTGAGTTTTGAGTATTACTAGTTAGGTTCTCGCGCGCGATAATTGAATGTTATATAACTTTGAGTATGACGTATATATATAGGAAATACGCAGGAGTGAGGCGCTATTAAATTCTGGTAAATTTTGCGCCCGTGAGATCGTCCTCCGCAACTATTTGTGTTAAAAATCGCGGGCTAATGTAATGCAGCACTAATTGTTTGATGAGCTGCATATAATAAAGGATAACTATAGGTAAATTAGGAAATTATAGAGTGTATAATGAAGGATGACTAACTACCTAATATATTTAAAGTAGAATAGAAAATTTGTTGTTTCTTGAAATTAGGGTGGGGATCTTAGTTTGCAATTGGTATTTTATGTGTGAAGATGTCCTTGAAGCTCGATACACTTTCCTTAGCTGTTCGATTGCATGACGCAACTTCCTTACGTACCTATTAGGTACTTCTATTTTTGAATTCTTATATTTAAATTTGAGAATTGTTTTCATCTTTTCGTCTTATCGAATGCGAATAGTGAGGGAATTATAATTTTAGGTTTTAGAAGCCACTATTAGTATATAAATATAGAAGTAAGTTATTTATTATATTATTTAAGAGTTATTTATTTTATATAAGAGAAGAATAGAAATGTCTTTGGTTCATTTACTTTATCTATTAACTGTGGATTTACTGGGGATACATGTTTCTTTAGTTTCATAATCTAGTTACTGTCTTTTGTTATAATCTACTACTTTTCTCGGTATTTTTGGACAACTGTGAGTGAATGTCATTGTTTTGCTGTTGTTTATGTGTGACTATTGATGATCGCGTCTGTATTGATGAGTTGCGTATGCGAGATATATATTTATATGGTTTTCAGATGTTGTGAATTCTCAATGCTGTGTTGTGTATATACTTACTGCGTCTCTAGCTTTAGTGTGGGGTAGGGGAGACGTTTGGGGAATGAGAAAAGATTGTGGATGTAGCCCAGTCCCAATACTGTTCGCACGGTAGTTTTCGTGATAGGACACGATCCTGGAAATGATGAAAAATATAGAATTTGACCGTCGGTAGGTAGTGAGTGAGAACAGAAGCTTCGACGCTGCGTGACGGGCTGCAGCCTTCAACAAGTGTGCATCAATGATATGATGATCGTGTGATCAGCCAATAAGATGCCGAAAATAGATTAAAACAGGCCTAAGGAGTGTTTACGTCGCCTACCCTTCTTGATATTGGTTGTATTGGATATAAGTAGATACTGATAAGTGAGGGTACATCTAGCATGCCGAGCCAGGTTACGATTTCGAGTATAAATCAACATCCCATAGTAGGGGACTGTGCGAATTAAAGTCAAGTGCAAGATATTGGATTATACGAGATAACTTCCGCGTTCCGGTTCGACCTCGGAATAGGTCGGTATCCATTATTCTCCAGGGACCGGTTGTTGAAGTAATCCGATTATATCCGTTTGTTTAAAACTCAATTGAGGAGAGATGTGCTTCATTACTTGTGGATGTGCAACATGTCGAGATCATTGGAGAATAAGAGGATTAGCTGGCCAATGTGAGCGAGTGTCGGGGTCCACGGTGGCATAATTTAAACTATCTTTTCATTACCCGAAAGCCGGCTTATTTGTTCATTTTATGGTGTTATTTTTCTGTATGAATTGTAACTATCATATTATATATACTACTGACTAATTTCACACGTGGTGCTGAATTTACTTGTTGAGATGTATACTAATAATAGTAACTGTTGTCTTAAGATTTTTTTGCGTGAAAATTTTAAGAATTTCTGACAATTTTGGCCATTATTATGCTAAAGTAATGATTATTTTCATTTGACTCTTGTGAATTAAAAATAATAAACTTATAAGATTTCTCGTAGTTTAATTAAAGGCAATGGACTAGAATTGAATTATATTAATAAGTTTATTCTTAGGTGCGTTGATTAATGCGTGTACTGTCTTAGTCTCGTAGTATTATTGTTCAACTTGACAAACTTGTAATCTTGAATTATAATTTTATTATAAAAACTACGCTTGGTCTACTCTATTTTGGAACCCTCTCTTATTTAGGTAGTAGCCATCCATTTTATAATTAAAGTCTATACAGTTCCAATGCTTTCGTTCCTTATCAATTAATTACCGCAGAAGCAGAGAAAGAATTTTTTTTCTCCTAGATATTCTTAAGAATAAAATAAAAATATGTAACATACGTACAATAAACAGTTACATGTATAACAGATGCAACACAATAATAACATTGATTATTTATACACTTATTTAGAGTACTTTGTCGCTTAGGTTTGCATTCAGAAGGTTCTAGGAATTATGTAGTATATGATTTTTCAAATTCAGATTTATATGTTAAAATTATCTAGATCCATAAAGGTATACGATCATAATTATTTATTATTTGCTACAACGATTAATTAGAAGGTTTATTATATACTTTATATTTTTACCTACTAAAGTCGCATACATGGTTTATATAAGCAAAAATTTATAATTCAATACTTTGTTATATGTATTGTAACCTATTATTTACTAAGCTATTAACTCATTCGCTTTTTAAGTATATTTACAATTACATATTAATTTATAATTTAAGATATATAATTATATAAATGAATATCAATATTGTTGAACCAAGAGTAATTAATCTAAGACATAAAATATTTAATGTGAAATTGATTTATATAAAAGTTTGTTCAAATAATTAATTTTAATGGGGTACTTCTGGTTTGATTTAATGTCTTATTGAATATGTTTTCCATAATATTAAAAGTAGTGAACGTTGTGGTGTTTTATATTTGTATATTGTATGTGTCAAGAATACTATTATCTTCTAGACGAGCCTCGGAGGGCCACTATCAAACTTACTCTATGGCCTTATAGATAGTTATACCTCGCGATTCAGCCAACATTGAAAACGTTTAATGTGGATTAATTAAGTGACAAAAATAAAAAGTGAGACTTAAAGTCTTGAGAATATTAATTTTGAAATATAGGTGTGATAAGATGTATTGGCTTCCTTCTGTATAAGCTTCAGAATTTAGGGACGGCAACTAACTCATGAACTCACACCATAACTAAAAAACGCTCTTGTTACTAAGATTCGAATTACGTGTACTGGTATGACGCATTAAGGTACCCAAAGTTGCATCGTGACTTAGAGTGTTGTGGAACTATCTGATTAGGAAGCCTTGTACTTTACACGTACGAATGTAGTTTCTCACATGGGCGTTTAGAGTCCCATACTATTAGGCTATCATAGGGGCTTTGTTCATACGTATTTTTATTTATTT